AGATTAGGTAAAATAATTAATAATAAATAAACATTTTTGTAAGGTACTCTCACTAGCATCTATTGTGTTATTCAATAATGTAATTGTTATGTAATTTAATGTGAGCTGTAAGTTTGGCAAATAATTTCAAATTTTATGGTGGGAATATTAGTTTAGACACGGTTTAAAGGGCAGTAAAACAAAACAAAAATGTAAGTATAAACAGGTGTATACTGTTACAATATTTAAATTATTTAGGAAAAAAATAAATCAAGTTTCATGTTACAATTTGAAGTCATTCTAGAAAGAAAAAAAGGATAATTTAGATTTATTTTGATTCTTTTTTTAGTGGTTACAATTAACCAACCTTGTATAGAGTTAGGGTAGAGAAAATAACGGATAAAATATAAGGTTTTTCTGAAAAGAAAAACATTTGATATTTATTTAGATTTTAGGGATTATGCAAACAAAATTTGAAAATTTTCAGATGAAGGAAAGTATTCTTAATCTTAATATGAAAATCACTTTGCACTCAGAGCAGTCAACACTCTGACACCATATAATTAAACAGAAAGTTTTAGTAGAAATACTTAATTAAAAATTCAGATTTTTTGTTAACTGAAAGCTTGCCAAATTTTGAGAAGATGCAATAAGTACTTTCAGAGTTATGTATACCACTGCGGTTATGAGGTTATAACATGTTCTTTATTAGTGTACCTATGTTCTCCTGTATCCCAGTTGTTGTTTTTTCCAACACTTTCCCTACCTTCCATTTCACATTTGTAATCCCATTCAGATCCAAATAGAATTCTCTGTCATGTGTATGTTATCATATGTTATATTAACCACACAGCTTCCTTTCATGGTTCCCGTACTGTTCATTTATCCATTGGAACCCTTCCTCTCCAAAAGATGTGTCATCATGGCCCTCAAGGTTGCATTTGCCAACTTATCAAATTTGCTTATTCTTCCTGGTTTCCCGATTCCAAATATTTTTTCTGGGTGTCATTTCATCAAATACAGCACCTTACCTTTTTCCTTGCTTTTCATCTCTGGCATTCTTTGGAAGACATCATCCAGACTGGCATGTGGTCCACATTCATCTCCCATTACCTCCATCATGTGGCTGTGTCCTTCTCTTCTGAATATTGTATACTGATAATGCCATGCTCCTCACATCAGTTCAACAGTGAGTGGGTAAGTTTTTTCTTTCTATATTTCCTTTTCAGGGTCACAAAGTTTTCTATATTGAAACCACTCTGTTGTGAGTGGTGCTTGTCCAGGTATACTAATTCTCAAATCCACACTGGATGATTTTTAAGGTCTACAATGCTCACTGTTGAGATGGGGTGTTCTGCAAGATCTCTTGTAGATTTATCCTTGCCGTGTATTGTGTCATAATTATGCCATCCTTGATCATACACTCATTGACTAGCATGAGTAAAGCAAGGAAGGAATTGCTGCCCATCCCTCTGTTCCTGACTAGATCCTTCAAGTTTGACCTGCTTTTAAAAATAGGGTTCTGCAGTCACCCATTGCACTTTCTTTAGTGTTGCATTTCTCTGGACTTCCCAACACTCTTTCCCCCTTCTTCCAGTGAATTACATGAGTCCTTGCCATTTACTAGCTCCTAGCTGCTGGGGTGCTGGATCATGGAGGCTTTCTCCTGGGTTGGACCCTTCCCACTCAGTTAAGAGTAAGGCAGTGGTGTTATGCCATTGTATATGATTTGTACACTCTTTCTACCATGGATCTGATGGACAATTCCAGATGCAGATTGGTTTTGGACTGAAAAAATCCACCATATGCAGTTCATCCCTCCATCTGCAAACCCTCCTTCCTACTGCCATCTGAATGTCGGTTCCTGGTTGTGCTGGACTGGCCAACATAAGTCCTCACACATATGGTTGGGCTGGTACCCTCCTCCTACCATGGACTGGATGATAAATTCACAATGTCACATAGTTTTGGACTGGAGTTGACCCTCCTCATTGCATCCCACCTTCCTATCGTTGCTCAGATGTCGGGTTACCTGGTGGCTGGTGTTGATTGTGTACTGCATCTGCACACATGTGCTGGCTTGGATTCTTAGAACTGAAGTTTTCTTTCAGTTTTTAGACCAGAGGTGAAGACAGTAAGGATTCTTCTCCTACCAAGGACTGGATGTTCCATTTCTGGTACAATTGGTTTTGGACTGGAGTTGAACCACTGATTATGGTCTGATACGCTCTAGCCACTACACCAATGGCACGTCTGTGTGATTATCGGATATGCCTTCTTTTTTTTTTCCCACTTGGAGCCACGTTAATTCATCAAGGGTGAGTAGTATACCTGGTTCAGATGTGGTACAGTCTTCCACATATATGTTTCCTCTTCCTCAAGGGGTCACATTACATGGTTCTCTTGAGATGCTTTCTGAAGGGTGCTCTTCTGGGTAAGTTAGCACCAGTCCCTCCACTAGGTCAGTGTAGGATTCTATCTATTATGTGAGAAAAGGTAAGGTCTTTTATTGGAAGTTATAATTTTCCTACACTGGAAATGTAGAGGTATCTGATAGATACTTTCCTTTCTCACACTTCCCACCCATCCAAATTGATGATTGTGCTCTACAGTATCGAGGGAGTCAGCTGCACTAGGAGTGTGTGTCACACTCCTATTGGTGTAGAGTTGTCTCATGCTCATGTGCATGCAACAACGAAACTATACCATGTGTAAACATGTGATATTAGGCGGGAGCCTCAAGGCTAGTGGTGAGTGAAAATTGCACATATAGAGGGCAGCACAAATCGAGGAAAGTTATTATATGAGAAGAGGTAAGTATCTATCAGAAATACATTTTTAGTTTCAGAAAATTATAATTTCCAGTTTACCTGCTAACCTAGCAATGTATGATATACATCCAGTCTGGGCAGTTTTTTTTTGGTATCTGGCATTTAAAAGTTATTGGAATTTTATCAGAGGTGTACTTACATTAACATTTATGAAATCTAAATATCAAAATAATAGATTAACAAATGTTATGGAAAAGATCTTTTGATAAATTATCAAGGTATACACCACTATATTATCCTAAAGCACATTTTTGGCCAAGGTACACACCACTATATTATCCCAAAGCACATTTTTGGTCAAGGTACACACCACTAGTGTATCCCAAAGCACATCTTTGATAGATATACACCACTAGTGTATTCCAAAGCACATCTTTGATCAAGGTACACACCACTAGTGTATTCCAAAGCACATCTTTGATCAAAGTGTACACCACTAGTGTATTCCAAAGCACATCTTTGATCAAGGTACACACCATTAGTGTATGCCAAAGCACATCTCTGATCAAGGTACACACCATTAGTGTATTCCAAAGCACATCTTTGATCAAAGTACATACAACTAGAATAACCTGAAGTACATTTTTGATTAAGGCCTTAATTATAGCTTGTGATATCATGTGGTAACTTAAGAAGTAAGATGAGTTATTATAAGTTATTCTAACAATTGAGATAATGCCTAAAAGTTGCTATGTAGTTAGTGTTTATGAGTATTTTGTGTAAATGATGAAAATAATTTTCAATAAACAATCCTGTTCTGTTATTTAAAACTGCTTTTGTAATTGTTGCATTTTAAGTAAATGTTTCATAGGCTTACTATTCTAATGGTTTGAACTAATCTGGGGTGCATTTTAGTTTTAAATAGGAGATTTATGTAAGGAACAAAATTTATAATGTTAGTTAAGACAACAAGTATATTTTCTCTTCTCAGAAACTTTGAGTTTCTTTCATAATAGTCCCCCAGTGGAAGAGTAGTAAGTTTATGGACTTACAATGCTAAAATTTGGGGTTCAATTCTCTGCAGTGGACACAGCACAATGTGGCTTTTCTTTAAAACGAACAAACAAATCTTACATAATATTTATGATTAGTGAAATGTAGCGTTATGTGAGCATTATATGTATTTGTTAAGACTGTTATAAAAGTCTGTGAAGAACATATTGTTATGCATATTCCAGGGTGCTGAAATCTTGGGAATGTTTATATTCTGTGACTGTGAAGTACTATCACAAAGCTACAGCTTCAACGCTAGGAGGAAATCTGTATGAGGATGCTTTGAAGTGTCTGTGTCAGGTGCAAAAGCATCTTCAAAACAGAAAATTGCTACTAAAGATTGAGAAAGGGAAGATCCAAACTCTGAGGCCTAAAGAAGGTGGTTTCTCACTTCATATAAAAGGAAAACATTCTCAAGCTAGAAAATTGTGGATGAAGAAGTTGTCTAAGCTTCTGAAAAGTAAGTTAGAAGAAATGTTCCATACAGCAGCAGTTTTTAACAAAGTGCCACTAATAATGTGACTTATATACATGCCAAAATGATAAAAACAAACTCCAATGATTCATTAGCTAGAAAACGTAGACTTATTACAGAACAAAATATATTAAAATAGACAGAACAGTGAACAATCTCTTTCACTCCAAAATACATTAGCACAGTGAATATGTAAGACAAGATATTCTGTCAGTATGTCAAACTTTAGAATTCTTGTTTCTGCTAAGTCTTAAACTAAACTTCAGAAAAAAGAAAGCTGATTAATTAAACATTTCCTTCCTTCTCTCAACACCACACAATTTTCTTACAACTTAATGATGTTCTAACTTGATTTTATTGTTAATATTTAGCTTTGTACCTCTGTTACTGTAATTGTATTTGTTTCCTCTTATATAGATTAATAATGATGGAATCCTTGTTCTTTCAAAACATTTAATAGACAGTTTTATCCATTGTTCCTATCTTGCTTTGTGAATTTCATGAATAAAATACTTTTATGGACCAAGTACATTGTGACATAGATAAGTACCAGAAAGATAAGAACAAACAAAATGACTATTAAACTGTGAATTTCAGAAGTGAACTACTTTTAAGGACCAAATATTACTAACAGTGAAACTTAGATAAGCACAAAAAAAGTAAGAACAAACCACAATGACTATGAAATTGTGATTTTCATAAATAAAATTCTTTTAAGGACCAAGTGTCACTAATAATGTAACTTAGGTAAGTACCAGAATAGAACAAACCACAATGACTATTATACTGTGAATTTTATAAGCTGTTTAATTCAACGTTAATGTGAAGGTTGTGCCTGGTTTTCTGTGCTGAGTCATCTAATATTGGGTGAAATTTTTATGGGCTTTAGTCTTAAGTCCAGTTCTGTTTTGAGCATTGTTTTGTATTTATTCTTAATTACAATTAGTGTTGAGATGACTGTTTCATGTAAATAGGTGGTAGCAAATGGCAATAAGGAAGTAACTTGTTTTTTTCAGATATCACCATGTACCAATCCTTTCTTTGTAACCAACTGTCAGTTAAAGCCAGTTTCTTCATTTCATTAAGTAATCCATATTACGATCAAAACATTTCTTTTTCCTTGTTAAAATATCTACTTGGTAAGTTGTTGTGTTCAATACTGAAAGGCTGACTGATCCATATCTTACTTATTAACCTTTTTTTTTGGATAAAATAATCTTGAAACTATTTGCTAAATGTGAGCATTCCTATTTAATATCCTTCACAACTTCAGGATTAAAATCAATATCATTTTCAAGCAGAAAATTTCCAACATTGGCAATTCTACAAAATTAACATCTTCCACATTGGCTCAAATGATTTGCAGCCTCTGGATCATTGCTTTCCTTTTGTTGTGCACTTAGAAAGCTTTGGAGTTCAACATCTGCAGACAAAGATTGAGTTCATTCAGGAATATAAACAAATCTGCCAAGTAAGCCAAGTGAGGGGCCAGACTTCGAAATTTGTGCAAAGCTTAGAATTAATTCCAATTTAATAACATGAGTACTTCTGAGTAGAATTCAAGTATCTGAGTTAGCACTCTCCCTTGGAATACTGTCTTAATTCAGTGTGGAGGAACAGCTTCTCATTGATATTACCCATTTCATTACAAGGCAATAGAAGTAAGCTGAAATCTGATGCATGCATTTCAGTGAAGTTTTCCACGTGGAAGGCTTTATCCAAAACAAATTTATAGTGGCTGGCATTTGTTTGGAGGTCAATGCTTTGTAGTGAATGCAATAGTGTGTGAACTTGGCATCTGATGCCACTTTCTTTATTTTCTTCATGGCTTCACCATATTTTCTTTTGCTGGCCCAGGCTCCATCCATTCAAACTCCAGTGCAAATCATCAAGCTTTCAGAAAATTTCTTCTTCTGTGGTTTGTACCAGAAACCTTTCACACACATCCTTCTCTATTTTCATGTTGTACTCTTATCATATGAAAACAAAGAAGATCTGTCATCCATTTATATTACAAGATATGAATTGAATCAACTTAACAGACTCTACAAGCTTTTCTTAAACTTTCAAAGGCATATGACAAATACCTCTGGATATTATGTCATTTGACAGAGTAATAAAGTCAGTTTTGTTTGGTAGGTTTATTACCAAGTATAACAGAAACTATATTTTGTGACAGGTAGTATCAATTTTTTACTAATTATGGGAGACTTTCCACAATGAGCTATTTTAAGACTTGCGTGATATGAAAGTTTAAGAGCTTTAAGTTTGTCAGAAGTAGATCCATGCACAGGAATGTAAATTTAACTGCTATTGGGGGGGAGGGGGAGGCATGTTAAACACATAAATAATGTAAATAATGTATGTATATCTATATATACATACATACATACATCCCCAGAAATCTGTGTGTTTGTCTGTTTGTCCATTAACTAACTACTACTTGGTCACTGGGCCAATCTCAACCATACTTTGTGGGATGATAGTTTGGAACAAGGGGTATGTTAATGGAGCCTCACAACCCCCTCCTCCTCCCATTAGTGCTGTTATTGAGCATTTATTATCTTTGATGTAAGCTAACAATAACTACATTCATAGATGGTGCCATGTCCTTACACCAAAACAAATAAAAACTTTATTAAATTTTTTATAACAGAACATACACACTGCATGGGGGGGGGGGGCACACAAATATCTTATATCTCTGAGAGTCTGCTAATATTCTCTATGGAGGAATGCAATGAAAAATAAAGGCCACCAGTATTGCTGTACTACATAAACTCAACTGAAATTTCTACTCCAACAACCACAATAAGGCTGATGTGAAAAGCTATTTCTTGAGTTATACCCATGACCTTTCAACTTCAGCTTGTAAGGCACTTCTGAAGCCAATGACCATCACTTAATTAATCCCATGAAACACTGTGGAAGGACAGTAAGAGCTGGGTGTTGAAAGCAGCTAACAGAAAGCACACCTACTGCCACTAATTTGGCTGCTACCTCTTCCTACAAATTCACCCTGACCATCATACAATGTATACCATGTTTTAAGTATATACATAGTAAGTTAATAAAGTTTATACCAAACTATTGGTAAGGTAATAATGAATACTGTAATAATATGCTATGTTATAAATAAATTGTGTGAAAGTTAGGATTTTTGTGTTATTTATTATAGCATCCACTCCCACATTTTATTAATCTCATAACCTGGCCAGAGGATGGGTACCCAAGGTTAGATATATATGTGTGTGTGTGTGTATATATATATATATATATATATATATCTGTAAACCATATCACACATACATCATATGCATAGAAATAAACAGAATTACATTCACTAAAATAATAACCAAGTCCATATTCATAGAGATATTGGGAAGGCACAGGCCCCTGGTTCCCCCTCCTGGTCAGAAGTATGGTATTGAATGTTCTTTCGACTATATTTGTATTCATTAAGTTAGCATTTAAAATAATCAGCAGGTCTATCTTTTATGTTATCATGTTTTATATGAAAATGTTGTTGAGGATGAGAGTGTTTTTAAAGATTGACTTTACAATTGACAATTACACTGTTGTAAAGGCTTAAAGTCTTCACTTCTAACTAAAATCATATTTCCTTGTAGGTTTACTCCATTTACTCTAATTTCCACACATGGTTGTAGATCTAGGCTTTATGCCAGGGCTTAGTACCCTCTCAGTTTGAGGCCCAGTAGGACAATCATCAGTTACAATTTCTTTACATCACTCTCAATAGTTGAGGCCTGGCACGGCCGGATGGTTATGGTGCTCAACTCGCAATCTGTGTGTCACAGGTTCAAATCCCCGTCACACCAAACATGCTTGCTCTTTTAGCTGTGGGGGCATTATAATATGTGATGGTCAATCCCACTATTTGTTGGTAAAAGAGTAGCCCAAGAGATGGCAGTGGGTGATGACGACTAGCTGCCTTCCTTCTAGTTTTTCACTGCTAAATTATGAATGGCTAGCGCAGATAGCCCTTGTGTAGCTTTGTGGGAAATTCAAAACAACCAACCAACCAACCAACCAATCTCAACAGTTGAATGTATTATTTTATCAATATCACTTCTTGGCCTCTTTAAAGTGTCACTTTTTTTCAACCATAATTCATATCATTAGTCTGTCTTTAATCTGTAATATCACAATCACAAAACTATGTACCAATTTGATTATCATCATTACCTCAAAATGTCCTAAATTATGGTACAGAACTTGGTAATGACATATCCAGTGTGGCAGAGTTCATTTTGATAGAGTTGAGTGGGATGCACTGGAGAAATGGTGATGTAATGAAAATATGCTGGCTAAAGCATGAAATTTCTTCAATTAATAATCCTTGTTATCTATCACCTGGATCCAGCCTTTGTACCACTGGTTGAGAACTCCTGCTGTATAAAATAAAAATTTACTTTTACATGAGGTTTGATAAGTGCCTTTGTTTATTAGGGTAGAAAACTGTGTATGAAAGTGTTGTCTCTGTTATGAAAATATGAGAACAAGGTTCCAAATAAAAAAGGTTTAATTTGTTTGAAGTTAGTAAGGTTCGATTGGCCAACAGGGTAGAAAACAGTGAGTGGAGTAGTGTCCTACATTCATAAAACAGTAATTTGCAAAATGTCTGTAGTGCGTGTATGGGGAAACTTGAGTTATAAGAATCTCCTTTCTGGTTAAAGTACTAGCAGCTATGTAAATTTCCCTCGAGTTTTACTCATAGTCAAGTATCTACATATACTTACAAAATATATGTAACAGGAATAGTTCACTTTCTTGCAAAATATTTCATATCTATTTTTGCCTGTTGGTTATCATTGCATATTTCTAAAGACAGTATGTACATTGGGATGTTCTTATAGTATGTTATATAAATACTTTACAGAGGTATGATATTCAAACTTCCAATATTATTTTAAACTATTCACTTTGTGGGTTAAAAAAACATTAAATTATGTCTTAATTTTTCTCACATTCATGAATATTTTAATCTTGAACATTGTGAACCAGAAAGCTCTTGGAGATTTCATCTACAAGTCAAGCAGTTTTGTGTGAAAATTGTTTGTTTTCTCTTGTATTATGTTTTTTTGATTATGCATCTTTGGTTAAAAAGTGGTCAAGTAGAAGTCTGATTACTAGAAGTGGGATATTAAACCTAGAGGATTTTTAGTTGAGGTACCAATTTAGATAGCTTAGTATTTTTGATTATTGTTAAATTATGTTTTGTTTCCTTTGTAACATTCACTTATAATAATACTTATCATAGTCAAAGGCTGATTACTAGAAGTGGGATCTTAAGCCAGGAAGATTTTTAGCTGAGGTACCAGTTGAGACAGCTACCACATACCACATTTAGAAACTCCTAATACAAATGTTTTGTTCCACTTGTATTTTTTATTGATTATTTTAAATGTTTAAGGTCCTTGTAGCTGTGGTGGTTCTTGTTTAGAAATATCTAACTAATACTTTTTGCCATAATAATGATCTTACCATTAACTAATACTTTTTAAAATAATTTTACAACTGACTTACATTTTTACTGATAATAATTTTACAACTAAACATTATTATTTTAATGATAATTTTACAACTATCCAAAACTTTGTACACAGAATCAATACTGCATTTGATATGTTATTTAGTTTTAATATAAGAGCAGTGTTTAGAGTCTTGTACATGTATGTTGATATGCTGTGTTTCGATAAAAACTAAGCCAAGAACATTTGCTGTCACATTGAAATTTGCATAGGGATTATCAACATTTATTATTGGGTACAACCATTATTATTGTAAAATAAAATATGTTCCTGAATGCCCTAGAAATATCATAACTGTCAAGTGTAGAGAAGTATATGGCATCCTAAGATCTCTTCAGTTGTTTGAAACATAAGACGTTGTAAACTTATTAATAGGGCTTATTCTTTAAAACGAGTATCTTTTATGCTTTAACAGAAAAGGATATGAGTGAAAAACAGCAGCGTTTGGTGAGCCGTTTTCTTCATTGTATCTTGTATTCCCTTTTTATTGACTATCAAATACAAGCAGCTACAGAATACATCAACATCTTGCTTGCCATGAGCAATGGCTTTAGAGTGAATATATGTTCTGAAAAAGAACAAGGTATCTTTCTGACAGCAAACCAAGAATATAAAGGTGTCATGAAAGTGGTGAAATCATTTGCTATATTTTTTGGAGCTTACTTTGTGAATGAAGTACTATATGTTCATCCTGTTCATCAGCCTAGACCTCTTTCTTCACTCTTGTGTAGGAAATATGAAAACACAGGTTAGTTTGCATATGTGATTTATTTTAAAGGATTAAAAATGTATTTTTGATTATTTTTGAATTATGTTTTGTTTCCTTTGTAACATTCACTTATAATAATACCCAATACTTTGTATCGAGATTGAGTTATTTAAAATTGGAAGCCACTTGACATAAGAAGTATTTTGTATCTGTTTTTAGCTTAATGTGAAATAATATGTTTAAAGCTGCTTTTGAAGCTAAAAATTCTAATATAAAAGTAGTTAATTTTGAGAATGGATCAAACTGAAACTTTTTGCCATAATTTATATCTTTATGTAGACAAAACTGTCATTTAATTATTGATTTACAGAATGTGTAGGGTCATTTGCAATGTCAAACATACTGTTGGGGTTAACATGCTTTGTGGTCACTATGAGAAAGCAAGTTCATACCAACAATATGTTTGATGCTTTTCACTATGATATAGGTCTAGCTTATCTCTCTTTGGTTAACTTGCATTCAGGGTTACTGATGATGAGTGGAATTCTCTGGAACTAGTATAACCCAATAACACATGTTGTTCAAAGTGTAGATTGAACTGGACCTCCCTTGAACTTAGACATTGAAATTAAACAATTTTCGGGATATTATGTTTATTCAGTAGTTATCATAAATTAGAGAGTGCCCAATGGAATTGTGCTTCCAAAGTTTAACGAGTTAAAGTATTTTGCTAGTGTTAACTCTCTTGTCTACATATGCTGCTCATACTATTTGTCAGTCAGTATTGTACAAATGTGGCTAAATGGGAATTTTATAAACAAGTTTTACTTATATAATGAGGAGTTTACACCTCTTTGTACAATGTTAAACCAACTTATGCATCGTTTACACCTTTTTATTCACTCATACAATAGTTTGCACAGGCTTAATGTACTTTTTTTTTTGATGACGAGGAACCCACTTTTAGACTAATAATGGTTGGAGACGGCTTGAATGGGTAATGAAGAAAAACTTTAATTTAAGTTTAATGTAACAGCAAATGTTCAACGTTTCGACAAGGTTTTGTCATCATACCTGATGATGACAAAAGCTTGTCGAAACGTTGTACATTTGCTGTTATGTTAAACTTATATTAAAGCTTTTCTTCATTACCCATTCAAGCCATCTCCAACCATTATTAATGTACTCTTTGTTACTTTTTTTTTGTATTTGTATCTTCCACTGAATTTTTGTTGTACTTTGAAGACTGAAACTACTTTATGTTCACCCAAATCTTACTTTTACACATGACCTTAATGCATATTTGTAATTTCATTATGCCTTGTTATAATGTTTATAATTACTCTTTCTTAGGTGTCCGTAAGATATTTATTCATCGAGAAGAAGTTACATCTCATTTAACACGAGAAGGTTTGAGTGAAGTTTTAACCCCAAGCTACATTGTTGAATTACTGCTTCAAGTGGGCCAATGGAGTGAGGCAGTCTGGCTGGCATACAGATTAAATGATTGGAAGACTGCTGTAATTCTTTCTGTCACTTGGTTGGATGGCCATTCTCTTGTCCATAATAAGGAGTAAGCATTGAAACTGAATATTTTAAAAATAGTTAAAATTTATTTTTTTATTTTAATAAGATTACTTATAAATAATCAAACTCAGATGTCTTTTACATTTTGTCCCCTAGTGGATCAGCAGTAAGTTTACAGACTTACAATGCTAAAATCTGGAGTTCAATTCCCTGTGGTGGAAACAGCAGATAGTTTAATGTGGCTTTCTGCTAAAACAAATAACTGAACTTGTAATTTTGTTAGGTGTTAGTAGGTTCCAAACCAAACACCTGTGAATGATTATAAAGAAAACCTGTTATTTAAATTGATTATGCCTCACAACTACTTGTCTAAGCAAAAAAGAATGTTATCAGAGACCCAATGAGAATCATAGATTTCATTCAAAGTTTGGGCATGTTAGAGGTTTCTCAAAACTGTATTATACTGCTAAGTTGCTTTTCTTGCAAATTATCTTTGCCTTTTTTTTTCTTTCTCTTTAAACAGTATGAGATTGCTGGTTTAAATAAAAAATTTTTTTATTGTGCCTGATATTGCAAGGCATAGTGAATGCTATTGAGAACAGATGATGCATGTAGTAGCTTTATATAGAGATAGGCCTTATATTCTGTTTGAGAATATGAAGGAAAGCATGTGACAGTTATTGAACACCAAAGTAAAGCTATTTTATTTTTAGTTACATTGCTCCTATTGAAAAGAAAGACCAATCATATCATCTTAGTTGAAAGAAACTATTTTCAAGCACTTGTTGTTATAAATAAAAGTCCATATCTTAGGGTTATATTGAAGCATAGATTTTGACCCGTGAAAGTTTGGAACACATACATTACTGAACGATAGTACTAATTTGCTTAATTTAATGATGATTTCACCATAGCTGCTACTTTATATTTGGTTGAAAACTGTTTCATTTTACAGATAATGAAGTAAAACATTCACACGTAGTTTGAAACTTTATATAGAACAGTAATTATGTTTTTGTATTTGCAATGAAAATATAAAATGCATGTTGTTTATGTACACATGTTTTTTGGTACAAGCAATAATCAACACCATATTGTAGCCAGTTAAAAGAACTGCACTTGACTTAAACAAAACAAATATTTATTTAACACTGTTCCAAGCAGATTAACAGTTAGTCTTTTTAACGTAAAATTGTTGATTAATTAAATATATCTAATAAACATAATGGTATATAAATAACAAAACATAACAGGGTAACACTAACTGTTTGACTAGAAAATACATATGGAACTTCAATTATAACATAAACTCCCAATAGAGAGTGTCATTATCATTGTAAATAAGCAATAAAATAGAACAGAACAACAGTAAGACTTTGGTTAGAAAATAGATACTGACCTACCTACATCTTGTACACTAGGCACTCAGTACATTTTATTGAAGCTGCTAAATATATCCTATTGTGTTTCACCATACAGTTCTGCTTCAATGCATGGGAAGGAGCTTCTGTGTATAATGTTTTGATGTGGTGGTGGTGGTGATGTGTGTGTGTGTATTAATACAATTGTTGTTTAAGTAATGGGAATTATACAAATCAAAAGATCAAAATTTCCATGTTGGGATATTTAATGTGTGATTAATATGTTCAGACATATTCAAACTGTTTCTGTTAGCAAGAGAGAGCAAAAAAATCTGACACTGCTTAAATGCCACCTGACAAACCTCTGAAGTTTAGAACTATCTGAATTTCTGACTAGCGAAACTTCAAACACAGGTGTTATTTTCATCAGTTCAACAATAGCAGAGAAAATAATTGCAATGTATAGAAAATAATTTATTTTTGATAAGATGGGTATCAAGAAGTGACCATTATTGTGCTACTAAGGGTCTTTCTTCTGTTAGTTTAGATTGTCTTCAAAGTTAATGAATGTATAATTAATTCATCATATCACAACCATGATTATACGTAGGCTTAAGAGACCTGGTGGAGAGCATGGTTAGCAGAGCTCAACATTAAACTGTTGTATTTCTTCTTTGTTATAATTATTTATGTTTAGCAGTTTATACTAAAGCATAGAGATTTCTAACCATGTTAAAATCTTAAAGACCACAGATGCATTTGTGATTGGATATGCCACAAACACCTTACATAGTACATTGATAAAATGAATCTTGTATTGTTTAATATTGACTGGGATGGTTTTCTATTTCATAAATATCTTTAAAAAATCATTGTCGCATTCTAGTCGATAAAATTATGAAATACCATTTGTATTTTGTAGTCTTTGACTGTTGTCAGTTAGTCTTAACTTTAACTTACATTTATGAAGAAAGGTGTGTATAAATATTGATTGATTGATTTTAAGTTTATCTTATAACAGTACTTGAAGCCAACAGCTATTATTTAATATTAATTAGAAGAGGATATTGTTTTATATTTTCTGTTTCCTGCACTTCAGTGATACTAAGTAATTAATATTAACTTCTGATGAAAGCAAGCTACCTACGTAGATCAGAACTAAAAGTGTACCTAGTAATGAGCATAACTAATTAAATATTCTGTTCAAATTATGTAACTCAGAATAATTAGAGTGCATTATTTCGTCAGTTGGACACCTCCACTGTTAATGTTATTTTTGGGTGTACACCCAATAATATCTCGCAAGGTTAGGCTAACTTAGGAGACTTAGATTAGTCATAAATCTTTATATTAAACTAACTGTTCAGAATAATCAGTATAATTTAAAGTAAAATTACAATTCGTTTTAATTTAGATAAAAAATTAAAATAGATGTATGGTTAATATTACCAGTTCAGTAGCCTAGATTGTTGATAATGAAGAGTAGGCTACAGCATTAGCTGGGTATTTAGGTTTACTTGTTTGTTTATTATAATTGCATTAGAAATAGCTAAAAAACTATGTTAAGTAAAAACAAAATATCTTTGACATGAACATGAACATTTTTGGATTTATTGTTTTTTAAGTGTATTTGAAATGTCTTCCTGGTGCATTCAGATATCCTGCATTTTATCTTTAAATCAAGCCTACTAGAACATCAGAAGTTGCTGTTTTGAAAATATATTTAATAGCAAAATTAACAGACATAAAAAACAACTGGGAATGATCAGTAGTAGTATTACTGATGTGTTAACTTTAAAATTGGGTTTAAAATACATATTTATTATAGCCACATTGAGTAGTCTAGTATAAATTGTTTTATAATTTCAGAAAAAGTGTATTTTAAATAAACTTGTGAGAACATAATAATTCAATGCTATATAATGTAAGAAAAAATTGTTATATATATTTTACTTTCGGAATACCATATGATATTGATGATACTTGAACTTGTATATCTTAAAGAAAGGAATATTCTTGAAAACAAAGGTTTTTTTATCACTTTTCTGTAGAAAATATATAAATAATTTATAGTTTCAGTTTTACAAACATCTCTAGATGTTTATGTGATTGTGCTTGTACATCATAAAATGGAATTAAAATAGTGAGAATATCATAATTTATCATTTATTTAAAGTGAACAATAATTAAAGTTGTTTAAAGAAGTTTTGGGTGGTATTTACGCCCTTAAAATGTTTTATGCTGAATATCATTTCTAAGTATTTTTTGTCAGTTTTTCATTTTAAGGCTGTAAGAAAGACTAATGCCTTTTATCTATACTTCACAGAGGATGTAAATGTCAGATGTACAAAATTCAAAAACTGTTTATCGAAATCATTCGGACCAAAGTGATGGAATATCTTACAGTTGAAGTTTGTCACCCAGGTGCTTTGAGTTCTGAAGTGAACTTGACTTCAAGCCCTAAGAAAGGTTTGTAAATATGATATATATAAACTTTCACTTTAATGAATCTTCAAGCAATGACTGTTTCTGGAAGAAACATGAATGTAAGAAAAGGGGTTGTTCATGTGCGATTGTTTCAACTCAATAAAGTATGCACTGCATTATTTACATGTCTTTTTATTGAGTGAACATGAAAGTCTAAAATGTTGGAATGACATAGCATTAACTTAGTTGGCTATAACACTTGTTTTGATCATGAATCTTATATAAATTAAAACTTTCAGACTTCCAATTTATTGTGTCAACAAACAAATTTATTGATAATATCTTACAATATTTGGAATTCAAACAGTAAAATATACTCTGGAACTTTAGTAATATGATCAAGATAACTTCATTGTTTTTATATTGATTTTTAATCACTTTGTAAAAAAATATTCATATAGATGTATATATATCAAAATACAAAAACTCATAATACACTTTGAAGTGGTAGGGAACTTACCCAGGTGAGAATCTTAAGTAAGATCATGTACTACAAAATTATACTGTTGGAGGGACTTGAAGTAAACATTGGCAAAAACTAACCAACTGACCAAAGTTTCCTCATTTTACTGTTGTTAAACTGCAAGAAATGTTCCAAAACAAGAGAAGATATGTATGGAAAACTTTTTTTTAAGTTATCAATGTAGGCTTCTTAACAAAACAATAAAAAATGTCACTGTGTTTCTTAACAGAAGATTCTGGCTTTTATAAAACCCATTGAAGTAAGAAATCAAACTCTTCATGTAGTGAGTTATCACAAACAACAATGCTGAAATTTAGGATATATATATATATATATGATATATTCCTTATTACTACAATGATAATTGTATTTTAATGCTGTATTTCGATATAACTTGTTTTAAATGAAATTTTTAATATTAACTGTAAAACACTGTGCTCAGAAATACTCAAGTCAGTTAAGCCTATCACTAGTATATATTTAACTTTTTGAGTGAGAATTTGCTCCTGGCTGAAAAACTGGTAGCAAAATAACATTATTTATTACTTGTTTATACAAGCACTTGAAAAAAAAAAGCAACAAAAACACCTCATTCTAGCATAGTAGCAATAAGTTGAAAAGATTTGTGAAACTTGGTGTTACACCAAACTATACACATTTGTAAAGGCCTGTAAATTAATCAATAGATACAAAACTTGAAGTCTGTTAATTTAATACCCCTAAATAAAGAATATTGATTTTTAGCATGGCTGGGAGTGAAGATCAAGATATATCATAAACTTTGAACACAGTCATCTGATTTTACATTGGATCTATAGGATAAGATTCCTACCTTGAAATTTATCCATGTTATTAAAGCACCATTAATGTGAGCCTCTGAGTATCTATATGTGGCAGTGCTAAACTTTGAATTGTTGCCCACCAATTGCGAAGCTCTATTAGTAATAATTTCCTGCTATTGGAAAAACAACATGTTTAAAGGTCTGCATTTAAAAAGAAAGAAGTAAGCATTCACGTATGTTGCATTTAAAATATTAATAAAATATTAAACTGCATCAAATATTAAACTTGGGTAGAAAAATGCTACCAGATATATGTTAACTTCGAACTCTGTGTGTGTGTGTGTATGTATGTATGTATAACTTCATCTACTATTCCAGTACTCACAAGGTAGTAAGCTATCAAAGCAATTTTAAGAAAATAAAAAATATGTCCTGAAATTTATTACCTGTTTTATTTTAGTAGACCTTCAGTTTGTTTGACCAGCATTTTTCAGTATCATTTAATTATTCAACAGGCTACAAATTTTTATTTTTCCTCTGATAATATTTTAAATTACTGGTTGTTAGTGACAACACCAATTTTTTGTTAGATAGAAATCTTGTTGTTTTCAGTTCTAGATCTTCTTTCCTCAAATACTAGTGAACGTTAATCAAACTTCCAGACTGCCTGTTTTATGAAGCAGTTTTTAAATAGCACTCATTTGATCTTGGTAGATTAAATAAACTTTAAGCACTTATTGAAAATATTACTAAAGAACTGAGATTGGCAAAAGGTTTATTAAATTGTTTATTTATTATATGATGTAACCTTATTTTTTTATCTATGACCTTTCAAGTACAAGCAAGTTATTTTTGTTCTTAATGTTTATTTATTTTTTTACCTTAATTACGATTACAGGATCTCTTCAAGGTGTGTGGGGTCAAGCATCATCATCATCTTCTTCTTCTTCTTCATCAGAAGAGCAGGTGACAGTTCTGAAAGAATTATTAATTCCTACAGTACTTTGTGGACTACCCATTATTTCAGAGCTGTTAGAAGATTTGCTAGACCAACTGTGGTCTGTTCTCTCAGGCCTTCCACTCCTAGTGGATAATAATGTTCATCTTCCAGCACCCCCTCTCTACTGTCCTCAGCAAGATCATAAAGACAATGTTAGTCTATCGCAGTTTTTATTGGCCTTTTGTTGATTAGCTTTAAAGAAAAGTAGTGTTGAAACAAGGTCAGGTTATATCAAAATTTGCTTCAGATTAATTTAGATAATAATAAAATGTATATAAACTTATCATGATGATGAATCTTACATGTAGAGATCCACTTTTAGATGAATGAAAATCAGTTACTTAGAACTTGTAGCAAAAACAAATATTCGGTAGTTTGAAAAAATAATTTTATCACTAAAAACAGTGTGGAATTGTAATCATACTTTTTGGAAGTATAATGAGAGGAAAACATTTTCAATAAGAAAGAAAATGAGGTTATATCCGTTTCTGTAATATTGTTAGTACTATATGGAAGCTTAGATGGTGTGAAATTTTATTGTCATTGTGTTAAATGCCACAAATGATGAAGCAATGAACTAATGGGCATGATAAAAGTCAAACTAGACTGTGGACAACTTCTGGTATTGAACAAAAGCCATCCTGTGTGGCAAACAAAAGATAGATGTAAAATACTGTTTTTATATACCTCTCATGTGAAAGGGCATGAGATGGTTTTTTGTTATTAAAGTTCTGAATTTTAGAGTTGGGTCCAAGTCCATGCTATACTCCAAAATATTTTTCATTCTTTAAACCTTGGATGCATTATAAGAGTAACAGTCAATCTCTTAGCAGGGGATGTGGGTGGTAGGGTGCTACTGACAAGCTGCATTTCCTCTGATCAGTAGTTCAAAATTAGGGATAGTGGACTGTGGCCTTAGAAGCTTTGCCATAAATACAAATACAGTTACTGATGGGAAATCCAGAATGGACTCATTAAGAGGAATATGCAAATAACATTTCCAGTGTAGTATGATTTTTATAATGGATATTAAACCTGTTGGTTCAGTTATTGTTATGCTATTTTTCTTTTTTGTTCATTTAGATGAAAAGGATTTGTGAGTTTAATATACAATTATCTCTACATTAATTTATATTAAAGTTTGTGATTGAGAACTTATGAAATTCAATTTGCTAATGAAGCCTAGTTTTTGGAAATTAATAACATAATCATTGTTTTTTTAACTGCAAGTATTTATATGCTTAGGTGGGTGGCTAAACTTTGATTTATTTCAGAAATAAAAATTTAGTTTTTCTCCTTCATAAGTAAATAAAATGTATAATTTTCTTGGCTAAATTATGTATAGATCAGTAAATATACTATGAACTTCATATTACTGAACAAATCTTTCTCCAATTTCAATGACAAGAGCTGTACATTCCAAAGAGTCAGTGTTATGTGAGGAAGAAGAAATCAAAAGTTTCCCAGTTTTTAATTACTGACATTCATTTATTATGGGACATACATAAATGACTTTTTAATTTTTTATGCAAATGTTTAATTAAGAAAAAGATTCAAGAAAAATAAATTACAAATTTTAGCATGGTGTCACAATAAGAAATAGTAGACCTAGCAGAAGTTACTAAGCTTATTTTAAGATTTTTTTGTTTTGGTATTGCTGTCAGACCTTTTAGTATATGTATATGTGTGTGTGTGTGTATGTATATATATATATATATGTATATGTTGTTTGTACATTATAGCTTTTCAATGGTTGTTGCGTTCAAGAGCATGAAGATCGACAGGCTTTAGCTCATCTGATCCAGTCTGTTTTGATCTTGTTGAGAGCTGCTGGTATGATGAAGTTTGTGATACAAGGCTACCTTGAAGACATAAGACAGCTCTGGCAAGCCTTGGTATAGTTTGTAGCTTCTAATATTTGTAATAGGTTTAATTAAATCATCAATTTCATAGTTTGAGCTGGTAAAGGATTAACTCATTAGCTCATATGGCATATCAACTTATCAGTGGTTGACATGGAACTGTATTATGAAATTACTTTGGGCCTAAGATAACCGGTCTGATGTTTTGCAGGACCAGAAATGTTCTGATGAGAAAGATACTGTGATAGTTATGCAACAAATCTGAAACACATACACTATCAATATTACAATATTACTGTGATAGTTATGCAAAAAAACTGAAACACATACACTATCAATATTACAATATTACTGTGATAGTTATGCAAAAAAACTGAAACACATACACTATCAATATTACAATTAATCCCACTCTATACATTTACATAAAAAAGTAATGATATTTATCAATTTTTACATTGTGAGTTGTAACGGAAAACACAGAATTATTTAAAATGATGCATTGAAGGGTATAAAAATAATTTGGTAATTCGAAAGTGAAGGATCTTGACTCACCTTTGCTACATTAGTGGAATTTAATAAATATAAAGCAGCTTTCTTGCCATTCTGGGCAGAGCTTACAATAATGTGAGAAACTAAGAATGCATGTTTATATGATGTAAGACATCTATTTAATTAGCCACTATTCACATATCTAGCAGTATTCATAGTAATGCGATTAAATATTTCCATGCCTAGTAGTATGATAGTAATGTGATTAAATATTTTCATACCTAGTAGTATTGATAGTAATGTGATTAAATATTCCATACCTAGCAGTATTGATAGTAATGTGATTAAATATTTTCATACCTAGTAGTATTGATAGTAATGTGATTAAATATTTATTGATAGTAATGTGATTAAATATTACCATACCTAGTAGTATTGATAGTAATGTGATTAAATATTCCCATACCTAGCAGTATTGATAGTAATGTGATTAAATATTTTCATACCTAGCAGTATTGATAGTAATGTGATTAAATATTCATACCTAGTAGTATTGATAGTAATGCGATTAATGTGATGAAATATTCACATATCTAGTAGTAGTGATAGTAATGTGATTAAATATTTTCATACCAAGTAGTATTGATAGTAATGTGATTAAATATTCCCATACCTAGTTGTATTGATAGTAATGTGATTAAATATTCCCATACCTAGTAGTGTTGATAGTAATGTTATTGAAATTTTTCATACCCAGTAGTATTGATAGTAATGTGATTAAATATTTCCATATCTAGTTGTATTGATAGTAATGTGATTAACTATTCCCATACCTAGTAGTATTGATAGACATATGTTTAAATATTTTCATACCTAGCAGTATTGATAGTAATGTGATCAAATATTTTCATACCTAGCAGTATTGATAGTAATGCAGTTAACTATTTCCATACCTAGTAGTATTGATAGTAATGTGATTAAATATTTCCATACCTAGTAGTATGGATAGTAATGTGATGAAATATTCACATACCTAGTAGTATTGATAGTAATGTGATTAAATATTTCCATAACTAGTAGTATTGATAGTAATGTGATTAAATATTCCCATACCTAGTAGTATGGATAGTAATGTGATTAAATATTTTCATAGCTAGTAGTATTGATAGTAATGTGATTAAATATTTTCATACCTAGTAGTATTGATAGTAAGGTGATTAAATATTTTCATACCTAGTGGTATTGATAGTAATGTGATTAAATATTTTCATACCTAGTAGTATT